AAATTTAAAATCATATAGTCTTGTCATTATATATACAAGTAAACACAATAAATATGATTGCAAACGGTTCATTGGACTGTAACGCTTTAATTAATATACATCTTGGATAATAGGTATAATTATAATACGTAGGTAAGTTGTAATCCGACACTGAGCGTTATCAATCAAAGAACAACAATGCGTAGGTAGTACTGACGTGTATACATATAACGTCATAACAGAGTCCTTTCATTTCATGTACCTAAGATAGTACAAGGTATGTACGTCGTGGTGGCTCGGAGGTTTAATACGCCTGCTTCTCATGGATGAGGGTGCGGGTTCGAAACCTACCAACGACAAGTATCAATGTGACTTTTTCCGAGGTATATGTACTTTCTAAGATTATCTAGACACCACTGACAAACGGTGAAGGAAAAACATCGTGAGGAAACCTCGGCTTATAATTTCTGATTATAAGTTTGAAATCGCCAACCCGCATTGAGCAAGCGTGGTGATTAATGCTCTAACCTTCTCCGTGTAAGAAGAGGCTTTGCTCAGCAGTGGGCATTTATAGGCTGTTGGTGATGATGATGAGAGTCCTTTCATTTCATGTACCTAAGATAGTACAAGGTGAGTTAATGACATTTAACTCTTGGTTATTGTGTTTCTCAGTTAAAATAGTTGGAGAAAGCGTGAAGAAATTTAAAAAACCTCAGTAGTACACGGAGCCTTTTTTATGGAATAGGAGGCAAACGAGCAGAATTGTACCCGGTATATGGCAAGAGGCTCACTTCTTACTACATGGGACTCATAACATAAATAATTAAAAGTGTCTGTTACATTGGGCAGTGGTATTAAGTGTCGTAATGTTACCCGCTTCGGGGATAAGAGGCGTGATGTTATAGTGTTATGTTATTCAAATGATTATGCGAGTATATTTAAAGCTTCTTAATTACTATTTTCTATTTTTAAAGCCTCAGTAATATTTTTCCTGACCCGGGAAACGAACCTGAAACTCCTCTTCCGGCAGTCACACTTGCGACCACTAGAGCAAGAAGGCAGGAGCAGATAAAAATAATTTAGACAAAAATGAAATGTAACAATAAGCTGAATTCCCCTCCCAGTTCTACTTGCGCCTAAAGGAAGCAATCAATTTAATTACAACAGATATTTAATAAGACGCCATCTTTACTAAGCGATATCTCATTCAAGTATTCTAATTTAATGTCCTTATAAGTTGAGACTGGTAGTTAGTGGCTTTTGGCTTGTTTCCAAGGCGTCTAGACGGTAATCCGTTTATATATATAAACGCGAATAAACATATAATAAAAATTAGTGAGGAATTGCTTCAGTACTCTGGTAGTGGTCGACTGTTGCGATGGATCGATTTGTGGTAGATTGAGATATTTTTATGTGGGGTCCTCTAATTTCGGAAAAGCGAAAACCCTGATGATATGGTCGTGTCTGGTGATAGTTAGGAGGCTGAAGTGGCGTAAAGGTTAAGTTTTACTTCCTTAGACTTCACGTAACTACGTTGGTAAAGCCAACAGATTTTTTTATGGAATAAGCCGGTAAACGAGCAGACGGGTCACCTGATGGTAAGCAATCGACGTCGCCCATGAATACTCGAAATCGCGCGCACGCACGTGACAAGTGCGTTACCGGTCTTTAAGGAATTTGGAATTTGAGGATTGTTGGGGATTCAGGGATTGAGGACATTGGGCAGGGAGTAGGGTAATTGGGGCTCCGGTATCGTTACTCACACGACAAAACACAATGCAAGCGTTGTTTCACGACGAATCTATGTGAAGCCGTGGTATCACTCCGGTCGAGCCGGCCCATTCATGCCGAAGCATGGCTCTTCCACACTTAAACAGATGATTAATTTCAATATTTTTGACACTTACCAAAATATGAACGGTGTGTGTACAAACGAAGCCAGCAATCAAAGTCCCAATCGTTCCAGCTATTAGTCCTGAATTTTTGAAGGCTGCAGGCATTGCCAATATGCCAGATCCAAGGCAGCATTTCAATAAATGTACTATCGATCCGATTGTACTGCAAAAAATAATATGAGAACAATTACCATACTTAATTTCATTCTTATTGTAAAGGATTTTCCCCTGTTGCGAGTGCGTTTACAAACATAGAATTTCACACACATGTGTACAGATTGTTGTTCCGTGCGGGAATCGACCCACCGCGGCAACCATGCAGTCAAGTTGTGGTATTGTTATGCAGGTTTTACATCTTACAGTCAAATCGTAGGTTCATATAGCCTTAACATCTTACGATTGAATTGTACAGTCGAGCTGTTCAGTTAAGGTCCATACAATCTCTATCATCAATCTCTTCTATCTCTTACCATTTTAAATGTAAACGCCATCAAAAAAAAGGAAAGAAAAATGAGCATGGTATTACTAAACATAAGTGATATAAAAAACTGGCAATAGCTGTTACTTTCAATATACATCTACTAGCCCTATGGAGAGTAAAAAGTATTATATTTAATAGTATTTTCTTCAACAAAGTAGAGTTAGTTGCACATTTATCCGCGAACATAAAAAAATACTAAAACAATTAGAATTTATCAACAAAACGTGTCAGAAATAAAAATATGTCTGTGCACGTGACTCCTAATTTTGTATTTGCATTTGTTGCTAATTGCAGTCATTAGGGGATTCATTTGTTTTTATGGTTTAATGACACGGCTCTTTTTTATTAGAGCAAATCATACTATATTGTATAGTATTTCACATTTCATCTAGTATTCAAATATAAACGTTTGTGTGTTTATTTTATTTTATAACTTTTAAAGAAATTCTGGGCAAAGTCGCGAGTAATATTTATTATCTTCATAATCGATCGATCCGTTTCTGTTGAGTTACATATTAACTCAACTCAATTCTATTGCACTGTAGGTACATCGAACTCGGGAGAAGCCATAATACCCCGATTCCTCAATTAAATGAGGTCATCGCCAATAAATGGCCTCATATCGGTAGGCATTTGCAGGCCTGCGGACGGCGAGCGTACGGCGCGTCACGTTCCGCGCGCGCCTCAAAGAGCCATCAGACCACCACGGATGGGGCCCAATAAGGCTGATGCTGATACGGAGCCGCGGAGAACTTAACGGGCTACCGAGGCTTCGGGTCGAAGTGCGGGAGTAGAAACGGGTTGGTTTTTAGTCAGTAAGAGTCTGACACTCCCTCCCGCCTCACCCAGGTAGGAGAAGTCATTCAATGATTTATACCCCTAAAAAAAAAACAGTATGCACTTAAAATATTGAACTAACGAGCTTGAGCCTGAACGCTAGGTACGATTCCGAGCCGACTGTACTGTTGGCTCAGTGGTTGGGTGATCGACTGTTGTGCAAAGTATCGCGGGTTCGATTGCTGCGCCGGGCAAAAGTGTTAATGGCAATTACTGAGTAAAATAATCATCATTAGCCCGGAGTAAGAAAGTTGGGTGGTGTTTTACCCCTGTGCACAGTGAGTGCACCTGTGTTTGAGCATTCACTTGTGCACCATTATTTCTCCTGCTTGGTGCCAATTTTTCAATGCTCAGATAAATGACAATGACCAAATTTGTATGGAGCGCCTTTTCATTTTTTCGCGGCAGTTGATCAAATGTGGAAAAACTGATGCAGAATAACATTACAAACAAAAAAATATATGGGGCCTTTTATCAAGAACACAGTCCAAACCGAGTTAAATCAGTTCAAAGATATGAAAATAGTGCTATATTATCCCTGTGATTTTGTTGATGGTGACCGTACACAACGCATATTTCTTCATTTACTTGTCAGAAATATTTTGTAATAAATGTTTATAAACGATTTCAAGGAATATAATAAAGCTTATTGTGGACTTTTTTACTTTTTTTTGTATTTTTTTTTTTGTTATAAGGCCACTGAATCAGGTCAGAGTGAACCATTACTTAACTGACCACTGCTGAAGAAAAAGAAACATTTCGCTTGATTGGCTAGCGTGTTCAATTTATATGTATATGGTTTATGGCCTATGACAGATTTTCATGATCAATTTCCTCTCAGTCAAAAACCTGCAAAATACTTTACTGAGCCCTATCATGAAATGCTATGTTTGTCAGCTGCGGCGTCGGTAACGGATTGAATAGCGCTGATAACTTTAGAAGTCGACGGTTTTCTTTCTTCAAAAGATTATGCTAACTATTAAGTAGATGAGTGTCCCACCAGGAGTCAATGGCAAAAAAAATATATACTTTATTAGATGTTTGGACGGCTACCACTACTCAACCCACCACTGGAACCACAGTTGACGCTCATGAAGCTTCATGACACAACTCCTAGAAGCATCCCACAAGTTATCGACTGAGAGAAAATAGGTAATAAAAATTAGTGCCTGGCAATATGAATATATAGTGGTGTGATATGGTTGTCCTGTGCCCGGAGTACAGTGGCGCGCAATTTGAAGTTAGAAATTGTGACAAAACTATGAATAATTTGAATAAAAAACCGAAGTAAAATGTTTGATTCCAGCTCCTTTCAACGCTCATAACTCAGTCCAGACTGAGATTTCCATATATAAGCCCATAGACAATTTCGTTTGTAATGTCATTCTAGATAATATTTCCCATAAATCATCGACTGCCGCCAGAAAAAAGAAAGGCACCAATTTTAATCAATGCCCTTTAACTGAGGAATAACTTTCAATATTTGATAATATTTCCGCACTAAAAACTGTCAACTGTCAATTTTATTCTATAGTTAAAAATTAACCGATGATTGACTTGACTGGCCACCACGATGGAAAACCAATGGGGTTATTTATTATTACATACTATTTACGATGCCGAACCGTTGGAGTAAATGTGTTCAAGCTTTAATAAAAAAGTTAAACCAGTTGATGTTGCTTCTAGATGCGTCTACAATTTATTTACGACTAGCGACCCGCCCCGGCTTCGCATGGGTCCAATATGCATGTATTATACATACAAACCTTCCTTAAGAATCACTCTATCTATTAAAAAAAACCGCATCGAAATCCGTTGCGTAGTTTTAAAGATCTAAGCATACATACGGACATACAGCGAAAGCGACTTTGTTTTATACTATGTATTGATGATATTGTTTTTAAAGTGTTTTAGACATCTTCCACATGATTAATAGACGTCAAACAAAATTGTTTAAGGTATTTACGTACATACATTTCATTACAGTTGTTTCTCAATAAATTAAATTCTACCTGTCTATAAAGTTTCACAAACATTTAAGTCGGTTCAGTCATTCCGAAAGATAGCTCTTATAACAGAAACGAGAAAACTTTGAGTTTGTTTTGACTGTAAACTGTGTTTTGTTTTTCGAACTAAATGTGTTGTGATTGTTTGTTAGCTCGTCTGTAACTAGCTTAAGCTAGCTGTAACATTAACTGTCTGTAGCTTGTCTAAATGAAATAAAAATCATGGATTTTGTCTAAACATGTCTTATTGGGCCTCAAAAGAAGGGCATCGCACATACCTATTATTATACAATACTAGCGTCTACCTGCAGCTTCGCTCACGTATCTATCACTGTTCCAAATTACAACTCGATTATTTGGGCCTCTGGTAACCTCATTCATATGACGATACACAACACAGTCGTTGTTTCACGTCGGTCTTCTGTGAGGCTATGGTATCACTCCAGTCGAGCCGGCCTATTCGTGCCGAAGCATGGCTCTCCCACATTTTCTATCAGATTAATAGATTTTTCCTCAATTTCCGTACCTTGCATAGTATTTACCTTAGTATTTAGATACGTTATTTTGGAATACGGAGAACTGATAACTATTATAGGTAATACCAAGTACATGCATACGTAGGTACCTATAAGAAGTACACAGCAATTATTTGCGTATCGGCTTATTTTTCGGTAACAATATTGATTTTTTTTTTCTACGCCTGTCAGATGTTTTTAACAAATATAATTGCATGCTAATTTCAGTACCTGTAAACATCTTTTATTTGTTGATTGGACGGTCAATACCTGTACGTCAAGGTTTTCTTGAGAATTGTAACTTAATTTAGTGTAAATGTTTGTTGTTATTTTAATTTTCAGTCCTTTGTCAAAATTATTTGAGTGATAACGTAAGACTTTGTTTTGCTTGGACCATGCCCTTTATGTTTTGATGGTTTTAAAGTGTCAATAATCTGGGTTTAATATTTCGCAATAATCGAGTACCTACCTATCTCAATAACGTAGTTGCCTAATTTTTTATTTTAATGTCCGTCTGGTAGATTATTTTAAATCATTAGACGCGAATTTTTTATTTTCTTTCGAAAGTATTCGACTTTCGACGATATATTGATTTGAAATGTCGCGTGACGTCACTTCTATGTATATTTTGTACGTAGAAATGACGTTTTAACCCCCACTCCTAAACTTTGATTCGTTTTATCTAAGTATTGTTTTATTATACAACAAAATAAAAAAATACGTGTCTAATATTTTTTCATTGCCTAACTTACGGACTAATTAGATTCTTACTTTCCATATCCTGTCATCGTCCCAATTTAACAATAGCCTCTTTCATATGAATTTGCTTTTTAATAAATTTTTGTGTAGTGACGTTATCCGTAAAAATGGTTGTGATCCAGATATGAAAACATACATTTAAAACCTTTACAACCACTAGATGAATTTATTAAATAATTTTCTTTTAACAATTTCCCAGTATTTTTACGTTCAACCTGGCTTTTGGAAAACCTTTTTTACAACTCACTTTTTTTTATTTCATGTCACTGTTTCTACCTAAAGCATGACAAGTGAACCTAATGACATTTTCCAGGAAACTGGGATTAATGCTCCAAGCAACTTGATGTACTGAGCCACATTAAACAGGGTCCCAGGAGTTAACATTTTTCATCCTTTCGTATTTTCGGTAAGAATAAAGGTTAAGGTTATAACACACTTAACGAGCACGGCTCCGGCTCGGCTCCAGCACGACTCCGGCTCAGATCCGGCGCGGCATTTTTTACTTTGGAAACATTACAATCAGGTTGTAAGCGCGATGACGGCGCGCGGGCGGCGTGCGTACAGTATTCTATATTGATGTTATAAAAACTATGTCATATGACATAAGATTGCTGGGTTGGAGCTGGGTTGGGGTGGTGTCGGTCACGCCTTTTTATCCGTGAAGGGGTAGGCAGAGGTGCATATTACGGTACTTGATGCCACTGTACAATGTAACACCCACTTTTCACTATTTATGTTATGAGTCCTATGTAATTGGGGGTGAGCCTATTGCCATATACCAGGACACTGTGCTACTACTGAGAATTTTATTTAAAAACCCAGTAGTACTTTGCCCGACCCGGGAATCGAACCCAAGACCTTGCCCAGCAGTCGCACTTGCGACCATTCAGCCAACGAGCCAGTCATTGGGTTCGATGGTTGATCGAGGTTAAGTGTAATATGACCTTAAGAGTTATTTTGTCGTTTGACTAATCTACATCATTAGCGATAGCGTTTGCGCAGATTTTTCGCAGCTAATGATTACATTTATCACCATTATTTAGCATATTTTTTTCTTTACATCCGCACTGTTTGGAATAATTATAAATTGTTTCAGTTGCTTTGTTTTCATTGTTTCGTGCAACGGTTAGATACAGTACTTTTATGTTACCGTTGGTGGTATGAATAAGGTAGGTAAGTATTTTTAAATGTTTGTCACACATATACAATACCTTTATATATATAATTCTGTGAGTGTGTATGTCACTGAACTTCTCTCAAACGACTAGACCGATTTTGATGAAATTTTTTGTGTGTGTTCAAGGGGATCTGGGAATGGTTTAGATTCACAAATCAACCCGGCAGATGGCGCTGCAGTCGTGGTTTAGGTTATTTGTACTAAACAGCTGAACTAATTTGAATGAATTTTTGTTTATACATTCAAGTTGATATGCAGGAACGCCTGTTGGGTCCGCTATTATATATGTATATATAAAAATGAACCCCGTTTCCCGTTGTCACGCTATAACTTGAAAACGGCTTGACCGATTTGGCAAATTTTTTGTTTGTTGTGTTTGTTAATGTCAGGAGAATGTTCTTATGATGAAAAAATCCTGAAAATCCTACGGGAACAGGAGAAAATGTCTTTTTTAAATGAACATTGCCCCACAGTCCCACACTAGGATTTTCTCTTGTGTCGTGGGTGCGTTTACAAACATACAAGTTCACATACACATCACACCTAGACCCGGAACAACGATCTGTGGATCACACAAGGAGTTGTTCCGTGCGGGAATCGAACCCGCGACACGTTGCGCGGCAGTCAGTTGCCCAACCACCGCGCCAACCGTGCAGTCAGATTGCGCGTACGAAGTCGCGGGCAGAAGCTAATATTTAATTATTAAGTTTTTCGGTCTAATCACGTAATTGTTTGACGACGAACTCGACTACTAGTCAAGTTTAATTTACTTTTTATTGTTCAAAAATATCTACCGGTTTAAATTTAGTTAAAAACATTTCTAGACATTCAAGTTCCTAAATACTATTTAAGATGTTAAGTCCAAAGTTTTCCTTGAGTAATCAAGGAATCTTATCAATTTAATAAAATGTTAGTTAAGAGAAAATTTTGAAGTAAGTACCTAAGACATAGAAATTGGTTCTGGTATTTTCTGACATTCTGCCTTTGAGTATTTCAATCGAGTTTGGAGATTAAAAGGATATCATTAATTCTCTGAAATACTTGTAAGATGAACTAGACTTTTTTTTAAGGGGGGAAAATCATAGAATGACTGATAAACTAGACTTAGGTATCGTTCACACCAAACGCATTGTCCGCTACCGACTGTGAGTATTCTCACTGTAAACACCGCACTACGTAATAGCCTACCTACCTATAGTCGGTTTGATGTGAACGAGATATTAACTCGTCGAGTACCGTCATTATAGACACAATTATAGAACAATAGGTTGCGGTCACCGGTGACCGCTTGGTGTTTGACAGTTTAAACACAGGGTGTAAACGATAAGCTACCAAAGAGAAATTTTAATAGTTTTTTTTAGTGTTATTCAATATTCGTGTAAGATCAGCTTTGAGCAGTTGATCACAACGAATATTACATAAAAAAATATTTAATTGTCAAACTGAGCTGGCGAGCCTTTCGTCGTGGGCATGTTGGCACCCTGTGGCTCTTTTATTTTACTTTTTTTATATTGTTTTTTGCTTTTGTTGTTATTTGCTGGTGTTTTTAATGTTATTTAATGTTTGTATATTTTGTAGTTCATGCCTTGTGACGAATAAATTATTTTTCTTTCATTCTTTCTAGATCCCTACTATCATGAAAATACAACTTGATTTTTATTATCACCTGTCGGCGTTTCTCGGTAGCCTACGGTTTATTGTATACTTACATAGAAACGCGATAAAAAGAGTAACGCGCGCTCACAGTCAGCGGCCGACAATAAGTTTGGTGTGTACGGCACCTAAAAGATTATACAAACAAATACTTACGAATTAGGATGTTCCACAGTCCGATGCTCGAATGGGTTGTAAGGTTTCTCATCGATGTTCTTCGATGCTATGCTAAGCGACGATTGGAAGCCAGGATTACTTGTCAGGTCCGCTCTGAAAAAATACAAATTGTCAATTAATTTTCATTAAGGTACACATAAATCTGCCTATATATTGTAAATCTATCTTGAATGTTACTTGAATTAACTTAATTAAAGCCGCAATTCCCACTTAATTAAAACCTCTACAAATGAAGCGCGAAGTAACACAGAATAAATCGATCCAGCTACTAAACAGTATTTTCATATAATAAATGTAAAAAATCGGTTACAAATGAGCAATAGTCATAACACAAATAAGTAATAATTATAGATATGAATTTGAATTGGGTTAATAATGATGCTAGTGCATCTAGATGATGGTAATATGAATATACCAACATGTACTGTATAAATGAGTCAGAAATAAAATAAATATCTCTTTCATCAGTGACCTTGGAGCTCCAATGTGAAGCCCAATGGTACGGAACGGGTTTTTGTCATCACAACTCAATGGAAACCTCAGCAGGCTTAATTTCTATTGTTGATATGCGTCATTGGTTCGTTTGCTAACTAATAAATTGAAGGTTTTTCGCAAATAGACCCGATGGGACACGGAACCATGGAAACGTATCAAATTAACGAGCTACAGATGTTAACATGGTCTGCAAATTGGTAAACAGAAAAGGGACTTTATTTGCATAAGCATAAAATGGTAAATGCTATTTCGTCAGAGAGTTTAGTCTCATCAGTTATTGTTTAAACTGATTTGTATCAAACACTAGCAGTATTTGTAGGTTATGTAGTATTGGTAATATACATTAGCAATTCTGAATTAAGGTAAATACGCTGGGTGTTAAATTATGTACTTTTTTTTTTAATCTGTATTTAATAAGAAGGGCTTTTTTCCGGAGAGGAAAATGTCAGCCCTATTATGGGATACAAAGTTCAATATTAAAAATAAAGCAGCTAAACCGTTTATAGGTTTAACTACTTAGCCCTTAAACTCAAACACAAAATAATTAAACTATACAATTTTCTAGCCTCAGATGACAATGGTGACGCTAAAACACTGTGATAAAAACCAATATCAAAGCTCTTAAAACTAAAAACCTGATTCCTCTGCGACTCAATACATATTATGTACTTGCAAGAGATCACACATACATTTCTTGTGTATTGCTCGTACTAGAGTATAGCAATGCCTTACTTCAAAAAAGGGTATAAAATAAAACATTTGAAGAACAAAGATGATCCAATGACGTCACAGATCTTGTTCACATAGTTTCCAAGCCATTGTTTTAGCTATCGTGAGAAGTTTTCAGGCAAAAAAGTGTCTGAGGAATTTTAATTAATGACATCCTCATTAGACTGTTATTTATAAAAGACTGCGTAATTTAAAACCTCAATTTGACCTAAAAGTTACTCTTTGATATTCGAGTGAATGAATTAAAAACAGATTATTTTAGAATAGAAACTTTTTATTGTTGGTCTCGGGACAAAATTTACCTTTTCCGTGATTTAAGGCATTGTGTCCTTTCGAAGGTTTACCTTCATTGTTTATTTTGGCTTGCCTATAGAATATTTTAAGGTTAATATTATATTTTGTAATGGAATGTAAACAGTAAATGACAATATTTTGGTAAGCGAAATAACCGCATCCCGTTATAATACCTACCTGAAAAAACGTCACAAAGGTATATATATTTTTTGTTTGCTTCTATAGTCCCAGTATTTATAGCTCTAGTATATTAAATGGTTGTTTATCATACTTACGTGGACTTAAAATTGTCTATCTCCATCATTTCTTTACTCTTCGACATTTTTGAGACCTGTGAACAAGAAAAACAAAATTAATTAAAAAAGAATTAGACAACAACAAACAAAGCATTAGAAAATAACACCAAAACATTTGAGAGTGTGAAAAAAATCTGAAAATAAATAATGTATACTTAGGTAGATATAAATAATGTATACTTAGGTATACATAGGCATGACTGCCTCGTTGGCCGAGTGGTCGCAAGTGCGACTGCCGGGCGAGCGGTCTCGGGTTCGATTCCCGGGTCGAGCAAAGGTTTACTAGGATTTAAAAAAAATTATCTGTAGTAGCACGGAGTCTGGAATTGTGCCCGGTATATGGCAATAGGCTCACTCCCTCACACATGGGACTCATAACATAAATAGTGAAAAGTGGGTGTTATATTGTACAGTGGCATAATGAGCACCTCTGCCTACCCCTTCGGGGGTAAAATTTTATGTTATGATGTTGATGTATGTAACTATAAAACAGATTTTGTATTTGTATTGTAACTTTCGTGAGACATAATAAATAAATCTGCGTCAGACTACAGTGTTTCGGGTCTTTTTTTTAAGGGGGGAAAATCATCGAATGACTGCTCCCGCCTGGGTGAGGCGGGAGGGAGTGTCGGACTCTTACTGACTAAAAACCACCCCGTTCCTTCTCCTGCACGTCGAGCCGGAGCCCCGGTTACCCGTTAGGTTCTCCGCGACTCCGAATCGGCATCGGCCCTATTGGGCCCCATCTGTGGTGGTCTGATGGCTCTTTGAGGCGCGCGCGGAACGCGACGCGCCGTACGCTCGGGTCTGTTTCTGGTCGGACGGGGAGCCACCCATGCTCGCCGTCCGCAGGCCCGCGCTTACGGTGGCCGGAGATCGTCCCGCGATCCCCGACGCCCGGTGTGTCCTTCGCGATGGCTGGGTTGCGAGGAGGCAGCGCTTCGCTGCCTCACGCGTCCCGCCTCCTCCTTAGCTAGCATGACTGCTTCGCAAAAGGAGGAGACGGCATCCCAATCCCCCTCGCTCCGCATCATGGCCTGCACTAGGCCCGGACGCGAGAGGTCGCCATCGCCGATCACTTCCCTGAGGACACGGCGGTGCTCAGCCCACGAAGGGCATTCTCCCACCGTGTGTTCCACCGTGTCCTCAGGGCGGTCCTCGCAGTGATGACACCCGGGCGTTTCCTCCCGCCCCATCAGACACATCAGATTCTGGAGTGTGACACAGTGAGCGCGGTATGTAACACTGTTTTTGCGTCGACCCGGGATTCGAACCCAACAACACCAACGCACCTGCCGGCGAGCGAGTCTAGCGTGCCAACAGTGCCACGCGCGCCACTGTCGCCGATACCACGAATGGAAGAAAGTGCGCGTGAATCACGGCAGAGGGCGCGCTGGGCCCGCAGACTCGAGTAGCCAGTAGCAGTGCGACAGTCGCCGCGTCGCGTGTCGCGAAATGCTGCTCATGAATATGAGCCTCTAGCATAGCTTGAAACTAGTCGAGTTCCTCGTCGAATTACAACGTGAGTAAGCCGAAAACATAAAGATTTTGTATTTGTTTTCAATCCATACAATCAACAAGTCTCTAGTAAATCACATGGTATTCGGAGTCACGTCACACGTATTTCAGTGCCACAGATACAATTGTAGTGACATATTCAAATCTCGTAGTGATGTCACGTAACATGTTGCACATCACCTGTTGCCGTGTCAGATTTATTAACATGATACACTTGCATTTAGGTAACACAGTACAATATTCAAATGTCAGCTAGAGTATATTATTCAAGATGAGAATGCAGCAGATGTTCTAGTTTCCGATAATAGGTAACAAACTATTATATGCGTAAACTAGAGAAATATTAATTAATGTAATTTTTGGACAAAACTACAAATTTGAATTGTTGAAGCTCTATATATCGCAAGTGCGAGGATTCAGGTTCGATTCCCGGTTCGGGCAAAGTATTATTGGACTTTTTTAAAAATTCTCAGTCGGAGTCGGAGTCTGTAATTATGCCTGGTATATGGCACCCTCTATGGTATATGGCTCACCCCGTTTTACATAGATTCATAACATAAATAGGGAAAAGTGGATGTTACATTGTACAGTGGCATTTAGTGCCGTAATGTGCACCTCTTCCTACCCCTCCGGGGATAGAAGGCGTGATGTTATGTTTATGTCAAATAATTTCCATTTGAACCATAACTCACTTTGACTATTTACCCTCCGAGTCTCATTTCCCCCGTCGCGGAGAACCTAACGGGTAACCAGGGCTCCGGCTCGACGTGCAGGAGAAGGAACGGGGTGGTTTTTAGTCAGTAAGAGTCTGACACTCCCTCCCGCCTCACCCAGGCGGGAGCAGTCATTCGATGATTTTCCCCCCTTAAAAAAAAGTCTCATTCCTCCCTCCTTTTTGAGAATAATAAAAACGTGACATACTGTTGACTAATCGTGTTAGAATTTGTTTACTTGAAATTGTCGAACGACACACGACCGCGACTCATACACAAATAGGGTTGCCACCGTTTTTTTGGTATTTAAAGTAGGTACAAAAATTGCATAGTACAAAAATAAAGTACAATTTATTCTTATTTAGTATTATATTTAAAAATATATTACTAACTTTACTAAACAATTGCATTGAGTTACTAAACAATTGCATCTTTGCTAGAAATTGTCTAAGTGGCGCTGGCGAGTGGCGAAATCGATTCAACATAAATCGATAAATATCTATATCGAATCGATAAGTTTACCGAAAAATACTTACGACTTTAATAGAAATAAAGGTTGCAAAAATGAAGTATTTTCGTGTACTTTATTATTCTTATAAAGTATAGAGTACCTTAAATAACGTACAATACTCTGTTAAAAAGGACGGGTGGCAACCCTGTACACAAACCTTCTTCACTCTAAAGAGTAATTTGATATCTTTAGTAGAGATTACAAAATGATTCAATTTTTGATACATACATATGTATCTACTATCAAAATGCTCTTAAGGAAAAGATAAATAACAATATTTTATCTTGACATATTATGAAAAATCTTTCACTGAATTACATCTGTGTTTGACAAGGAAAACAAGAAAAATGTGTAAACAGGAAAGGTAATTTTACTTGTCAAAAAAGGTGTCGAACCAACCAGTAACATTGTTTTTTTTTCTTTATGTAAGTTACTTAATGTAATAATTATTAACCTTATTTATATTGATAACTAGCTTCTTCCCGCGACTTCGTACGCGCAATCCCATTTTGCCCCCGTTCCCGTTCGTGATTTTCGGTGAAAAAGTAAAAAAAAAAGTATCCTATGTCCGTCTCCTGGTTCTAAGCTACCTCCTTGCCAATTTCCATCTAAATCGATTTAGTCGATCTTGAGTTATAAATAGTGTAACTAACACGACTTTCTTTTATATATATAGATTGTAGTGAATTAAACTGTCAAACACCAAGCGGTCACCGGTGACCGCAACCTATTGTTCTATAATTGTGTCTATAATGAAGGTACTCGACGAGTTAAAAAGTAATTTTGTAAGTGGCCATAACTGGCGCTTCACCAAATAAGGATGATCTCAAGTACGTTAAGAGAAATATTGAGACTCCGAGCAGTGTATACTATTATTAGCCTCTTCTACCTCTACAGGATTACCCCGACCACTGTCACATATCAAGAGTGAAGGGACTGTGAAAAAATAGAAGAAGAAAATTGGTTGAATTATCTAACTGGAACTATAAAAAAACTTGACTTAGTGAATAAAACATAATACAATCAAAACGACTCGTTGGCCGAGTGGTCGCAAGCGTGACTGGTAGCAAGGGCAAGCTGTCTCGGGTTCGATTCCTGGGTCGGGTTCAAAAAAATCTCAGTAGTAGCACGGAGTCTGGAATTGTGCCCGGTGTATGGCAATAGGGGCCTATTACATGGGACTTATAACATAAATAGTGAAAAGTGGGGGTTACATTGTACAGTGGCATTAAGTGCCATAACGTGCACCTCTGCCTACAAATAAACCCTGCATACAATAAAAGTCGTGATTTAATGCATGTTATATATCAAAAAGACATCATCTAAAATGCAGAGACTAAATCCAAAAACGGTATAAAAATAAACCTACCGAGAGAAACCAGTCTAAAATATTCACAAGTCGACCGAAACTTTTATACAAGTAAAAGTTTACTGAGGTATCAAAACCAATAAGTTTCTGATAAGAATTGGTATCATAAAGTAACTAACAAGCTATTGAGGTGAAATCGAGAACATATTGGAAGGCCAATGTAATTGGGTTACAGGGAACAGTAACTAGATGGCAAGTGAAGACAAATTACAGTACAGTCACGACACGCATATATTGCACCAGTTATGTTATTACACGCAACTGATGAGCAAATGATTATGTCTTCCATCACCATTCGAATTTTAAAAATTATTCAACCATTGTTGCGATATATGACATGATCAAGGCAGACATATTTGACTGTGATTATACAGGAGCACGCTTTAATAGGCCTGAATCTTTTACATTGTGATTTCCAATCAATCACTGTTGGAATTTTGTGTCCTGTAGGATATAACCTGATTGACTTTAAGACCGGAGTGATTTGAGATTGGTCGTGGGCAGATGTGTTTCACAGTAGGCCGCATCATCGCTTACCATCAGGCGAGATACTGGTTAATGTCGACCATCCGCTTATTTAGTATTAACGCTAGTGTCAATCCAAACTAAGTGGAAATTATGACAAACCCTCTACTCTGGCTCCATTGACACTTAAATAGATACTAATATCATTTGTAAATTAAATAATACAAACTCCTTTATTTACAATCGAGTCTGCAGAGTTATATTTAGTAGACACTTACTACCTAGCACAAAATCTATTCTTATAATAGATCTGTTCAGAATTTCTAGATGGAAAATCTAATAATAAATTGTATTTAATTGAATTTCGGAGTTTGCGCTCAACTGTCAAAACCCGCCCTTGGTGTTGCTTGATCAAATCTTTTCTTGAGAGCCTTAGTAATCACACCCTACAGCACTTAT